ATTGTAGGCAGAAAGGGAAACTGAGAAGGGCTACGTAGACGGTTCATAATTGAAAAATGGTTGGGATGGCCATAAAGATAGGTGACCGCACAAGCACGATCAAAGTCACAGCCCGTGGATCACTTGATCCTAAAGAACGTCATTTTACCCCGTGCCTAGTCTGTGTGATTCGTAAAACAGAGGACGCTCAATGCGACGACGGAATGATTAGGCTCATTATGAAGAAATCTTAACATGATAACTTAGCCTGATTTTTGATTAATTCCCAAGATGACACCCAGTAAATCAGCATTGCGTATAGGTCCCTTTTGCAATTCCCTTTATCATAACCCTTTTTTATCCTTTTCGATGATATCCTATTATTTTGGAACAAAAAAGAACTCTCCATTCAACTCGTTCAGTAAGTAACAAATAAAAATTCGGCAGCTTCTATCAGAGAAGTGGATACATAGTTGGAAATTACAACCAATAAGAGCGGCGTTAAATATGCACAAACAAAGGCAAATTCAGCCGAGAATCCTTTGTCGGAACACTTCGGAATCACTTTTTGATCGTGAGCTCTGGAGCGGATGAACTAGACCACACGGAGAGCCCGCAGCCCATTCTGATCTCCTGATAGCTAAACTGGAGCCATTTCAGCGTAACTTTTAATGTTTTTGTGTACAGATGACAATTCTTGAGCAGGAGAATTGTTTTAGTCCTCGGGGATGCAAAAAGGGGGAAATTGAATGACGGATTAAAATGTACTACAGTTAGTTTTCCTCCAAGTAGTACTTTCAAAGTGTTTAAAACGGAACCAGAGATGAAGGGCAGGCGGTAGCGTCATAATTCAACGGCTTCTTAACTCTCATCAACGTTTGGCAAATAAAAAATCGATAAGATGCCTATTAAATACGCGGGGGTCAATTTATTAACACTATATGCAGTGGAGGACGAGTGGGTCCTCTGACAGATCGGTGTACGCATATATGCCAATGTATATCCCCGATCTAATACCGGCAAAGACTGTGAGCTCGTAGCTCAACTGTTAGGACGTTCGCCCTGACGGGAGAGA